TCAAACTCCTATAAAAACTTCTCGCATCGCTACCCTTTATATTATTGTATCTACTGTAGAAATCTCTTTGCGAAACTTTTATTTGATTATTGTGGAGCATTGTGAAATAAAGTTCGTATTGACATTGTGGTTCCGTCTGCCCTCGAACCGCTGAAATTATCAGAAATCGCATTTCATGACGCGCATTCCCAGACGTAATTTACTTTCTCCGATAAAATGTGGCAACAAGATAAACCAAACGATTATTGAATGATGTACTCCTGGCCCACGCCATAAATAACTTCACTACAAAGCAACCTCGCATAGGATGTTAGTCAAATATTTACCCTATCGTGGTAATTTTAATAGATTTGAGGGATTGTATGTATAGTGTGGCTTTGGTTGTGTTAGATTTTGATATGCGAGGGTTTGGTCAAAACATTTCAGCTAGGATTTACATGTTTCTACATAATTATGATAACAGATTGCACCGTGTGAAAATGCTGTTGAGGTTAATTCAATAAATGAAATGATTAACGTTTGTAAAAAGTCTGGAATTTAATTAAAATACTAATCCCAAAAAAAGTTCAATTTCAGCAAAATTTCAAATAAGTAGTAATGGAAAAAAACGTGAATTTATTAGAAATTTTGGAATTTTTTTTCAAATAAACCTAAAGTGTTATTAATTATAGCGATCGTTTTTCCCATAATCTGACAGCATACAGTCACTGTAACACAAGTGGAATATATTCTGTCAGTTTTCAAAGTTCATAAGCCTCCTTGTTGTACATAAATAATATAGCAGGTTTATTCAAGGTGCGATGAATTTGTTTATTTGCCGAACTGACAAATTCAAGTTACGTAAATTTTTCACAGCGTACGAAAAAATACCTCAAGCTGAATTTAATGCGCTCTGATATGGGTTTTGATGCGGTTTATTTTACCTAGCGCAAACTTCGTTTGTGACAATGTTTGTGTTTTCGAAAATAAATCCCCCCTCAATTCTTGAAGCAAATCCACTTTGAGCATCTGTCCTCTTCGGTTTCAATAATAGAAACGTTTATTGAACGCTAGGTACTTCTGGAAAACACCACGATCTCGATTGCTTTGCATTTAAAGCGTTCAAAACCTCAGACTGCTAACACAAACCACGACTTCTTAACGATATCGATCGTGATAATGATTTAAACCATTCCGTGTTGGAATAGTCGACGAGGTAAAGCCATAGATCACTTAGAATTTCTAAGTAAGTCGAAAAGTCTCTTTGATATTACGATTTTGCATCAGATTTATGAAACTGTAAAATTGCAACCCGATTACGACGGTCTGAAACGCGGAATTGTTCGGATTATTATATTTTCATGGCAATTATGGTTGTGGTTAATGGTAGTAGCATGACCTATAACCCCCGCCATCTTCTTTTAAATTGAGGATTCTTTTTGGTATCCTGAATTCTGATTGAAGTGACTCTTGGGAAATGTAGAAAAAAGGTAACATCATTTTTTATCGAAAAACTTGGATATTCCGACCTTCTCAATTATGTCAAAACTTGTTTTGATTTCTTTGTAAGTCAAAGTTGAAACAAGTATTAATTAAAGGACATGATGCCATTCATTGGAACTTAGAATTAAAAATTCGATACTGAATTAGCAATGAGTCAGAGCACAGATGCATAGGTGCCGCAGGCACAATACTTGCCACCGTGTATACCTGACTAAGCAAGTAAATAAACAAATTTTCAGTTAATCTTTGTCCTCTCAGAATTCTCGAAATTTGTGCTGGAAAAGTTCAGCGAGATACGTGCAAGAAATTGCTTTTCCTAGTACCGTGCTTACGCATAAAATATATATTCTCCTGCGCTCTAAAATCCAGATTTGAGCACAAATTTCATGATATCAAACGAAATATCATAGCACACTTCAACACCGAAACTACTGTTTAAGTTGGGTCACAATTCTGGTGTATACTTGACAAGACCAATACAAGTAAATAATTCTATTATAAGTTACTATGTATGATCATAGAGCGCCTAACTTTGTTGGAAATGTTTACGGACATCCATATAAGACGAATTGTTTCCCCAACGTTTTGAATGCGCACGAAATATACATTTTCTCTCGATAAAGATTCCAGATTTGATGCTTAGATTTACGCTCAAATTCCATGTTATCTATCTAAATTGTTAGCAGCACACTTCAACACCGAAACCGCCGTTGAAGTTTGGGTTTTCTTGTGGTTACAACTTGTCTGGACCACAGCGTTGTTACCTAACATAGGTTTATATTTGGACTGCCTTAGTATGGTTACATGAAAAAAGACGAAACTATTTCGTTGCCCGTCTGTCGGTCGAGCCTGGCGAAAAACAAACTTTAACTGAGAAAACCCTCAACACCGCTGGTTAACCATAGACCTGTAATCTTGTCACGTGTGCATCTAACTAGTTTAGCTAAACAAGTCTGCACTTAGTACTTGTCTGTACTGTAGAACAAACTTGCGGTGGGTCTTGCAAAGCTTTTGTACTCTTGTTTCAGACGTTTATACAAACTGTACGTGTCGTTTAACCTAGAACAATTATGAAGTGTTTTCCATGAACGAATCACTTTAGAAGCATATAAATCGCATTTCAATGCACCTGTATTACACTCGTCGCACTAGTAAAGTTACCTACTCAAAGCTACTCCATCTGCGGAAAAGGCGATTCGAGCTTACACGTATATGTGGACCAATGAGTTGGGTACGCCATACTAAAATATTCCAGTTTTACAAATATTTAGAAGTTAGTATATATAGACAATGGCGACATTGAGTTTAAAATTGCGTCTGATAGAGTCCCGCGAGTCCAAACGCGGGCCCCGGTAGCGTAATTTGGAGAGAGGGCTGTTGATCAATGCGCTCGACCATTAGCCCTCTTATAACGTTCCGTTTCTTACTGTTTCTTGTACTTACTACGCATACCCAATTCCAATGATTAGACTCGAACGCGTTTAGGTTTTTGGTTTGCAGAGAGACATGTTGAGCAAATAACTGAGAAGCATTGTCCAATAATGTCTACGTGCGGGATTACCACATGAAACACAAACCCGAAACCGCAGAGTTGTTCAACACGTCACCAACATTTATTATAAGCCCATATTACACTTTGAACATGACTGCAAATTGCCAATAAACATTTATATCTGACGGAAGAATATATCGACTCGAATGACGTTACAACTTCCGTATATAAAAATAGGCACGATTTGAATGCATGTTTTGGAAATGATGCCATAAAATTTTAATTACGAATTTTCTTGAATGACGTAACGAGTGTGTTACGTCATGACGTAACAAGTGTGTTACGTCATTGAGCAAATTATGGCAATGTTGCGAACTTCGGGCTTTAGAAACAAGCGTATAAATGAATTGAGTCGACCACACTCAATCGATACACGGCGTCTATCTTGTAGCAATCACAAGACTATCGAAAAAGCGGCCAAAAAACTAAACCTTACACGTTATTTGAATTGTAAACTTTCAAGCATGACTTTACCGCGACAGCGATCGCCAAGAATGAAAGAGTAATTGACATTCTATTCTAATACTATATACGGAAATCGAACTATAGTTGTCAATTACGGGTAAATTGTATTTCACTTTTCAATTTTTTTAAGAGTGTTCCTTGTAACGAACGGTAGACTAACCAGGTTTTAAATGATCGCTTGTTAACCTGCGATAAAAAGTTTGTAAATTCACCAGAAATTCTAGGTTGCTTCATTCTGATTTTAAACACAGGGTGTATCACCGCGAATAGGAAGTTCGTTGGGCCAATCATGCTATGCTCCGGAAACTATACGATTGAATTCGACTTATGTGCCGCCGATTTAAAAAAATATATCTGTATTCGATTAGCTTGAAGCACTAAAAATATCAGCATGTGAATTACAGTAAATTTCTGTGATTTTTTATGTAGAAAATTGCCTTAGACTAGCGTCTGGGAACGAAAAGCTGGCTCAAAATATAAAACAAGTACATGGGGTATTATGAGAGACACGTTTGCTCGTTATCAGTTATGAGGTCGCATTAAGGTTGTTTGATATTTTTGAAAAACCGGGTCCGTTTGCCAGTGATAATAGTCCTCCTAAAGTTTGCGCCACAGATTAATGTTACGTTGGTATTGGAATATCACTTCAACGCCAGTTTACTCGTGTATAAACGTAGGCGCCAGTTAATATGTAAAGACCGATTATGAAGACCAGTCTAATAGCTGTCGGTGCGGTTCCATTACATTTGAACCCACGTACATTTGAACCCATGACAATTGCACCTGTATGCTATTGCACCTATGGAATTTTTCACGGATAGTTAAACCCATACTAACCCTAACCCATGGGTTTTAGCACCTGCATATAGATTGAACCCGTGGATATACGCATGGGTTCAAATGTACATGGGTTCAAATGTACGGTCACCGTCGGTGCGGACCCAGAACCCGACTTCCAAACCAGAAATCAAACTATTCGACCGGTATACTCAGATAATCGAAAATATGGATAGTAGACAAAGCTTGTTTTTCTCGTGAGGCCATTGTGACTTAAAAATATTTGTCCAATGACGTGAATGAAATCTGTAAGAGCAGATAAGGTCAAGTTCACTAAGACAACCCCTGAGGCATAGTGTGTATACCTATGCAAATTCCGTGTTGAGAAAATGGCTTAACTAATAAAATTATAGACCATCAACAAGGCGCTAATTTAAGTCTTGTCTAGTCCTGGCGCCTCTGTTTGACCCTGTCAGTGCTGACTATCAGAAATTCCGGGATAATTATAACGTTCTATGTATGACACCATCCTACATTAAAAACTTTCAAAGGTGTGAGAAAATATATCAACCCATGCATTCCACTGTGTTGGCTGGTGTAGAAATGATAGAGAAAGATTAAAAACTATAAATATCTGAGTGACCAGTTTCTATTAACAGACATTTCATGTGAAATTTTGACTCTTTTTTCATGAACATTAACTTGATGTTTATAATTTTTACAGATCCACAATTCCATCACTCGCATACTCTAGCAAGTAGGCATAGCGCCACTTCACCATCGGAGGAATACACTTCCTCCCAGGTATCCAGTTACAGACAAAACGTTCTGAGTCAAGGTCAAGAGTTCACAACGCAGAGTCTTTCATGCTCAACAGGCGGAGAAGGCCAATACAGATATTATAACCCCAACGCCGAGGAAAGCACTGGCGGCCTAAGTCAAAGTGTTCCCTGCTCTCCAAGGCTGAGCACGGACTCTCAATTATCAAACGGGGAACACTCGTTTCGTCCAGGCAAGAGGCCGAATATAGAGGACAACGAAACGGGAGTTAACCCAGAAAATTGTTATAAAAGGCATAATTCTTGCGGGTCTGAATTACAGCCATATCCTTCCAACGGTTTCGAGTTTAAAGAAAGACCGACTTGCATCAAGAAGATTTCGAATTCAGGTTCGAAAGATTCGATATCGTCCGAAACCGAACTTAAATCTGGATATTCGTCGAATCACGCCGAATCTCAGAATTACGGAGAAAACTCAAATAGTTACCAGTACAATCATCACCTTTATGACAATTCGAGTGACGTCATAACCTATCGACGCCATAGTGACGTCATTCAAAGGCAATTTTCTCACGATAGCGTTTTCGTAGACAATCCCTTCCAAACACACGACTTTCATCACCAAGCGTATAATCCGTATCGTGATCGAGGATCGAATTTCGGACCTCCACATCCAATACATATTGAACAAAGAGAACACGTTCAAGCACCAGGTTACAGCTTTATCAGAGAATCGCATCTCCGTGTCAAACTGGACCATCAGGTGAGCCTATCACTTAGACCAGCGGTGGGCACGGTTTAAAACCAGGGGGCAAAAATTTCGCCAACTTAGACTTGCGGGCCATATAAGTGTGACGTAAAACTTACATTCTATGAATAATATTTACCGCGTTACAAAAGCAAAAGTGGAAAACAATAAGCCTCGTGCCAAAACTAAATTTAATCGCAATCTCAACAAATTCCTTGAGCTATTTTTTTTTAGCTGAAACATCAAAATTTGATTTTAGTTTGGTTGTGGCAGCATCAGGCGTGTCAGAGTGAATTATCCAACAGGCCAGATTTGGCCCGCGGGCGTAGTAGTGTATCCATGTCAGTCTTAGACTCTAGTTTTTCGTATAGGACATGGTACTAATGCTTGGTTTTCGGATATCAGTTAGTGAGTCTTTTGAATAAAGTAAAAAGACGACCATAGCTTCCAAGGGTAAATTTGAACCAAGCTAGAATTCACAATTTGACGAACTGGCTGGCTTTCTGGAATTGAAGTGTACTAATCTAGCCAAGTCGTGAATGGCAGACTGGAGTCGATTTGCGGGTCGTACTATTTGCTGGATTTGAATTGGAATCAATAATATTCTGGCCATTTCACCATAAATTTTAATAAACAAATCCTAGTCGGTCAATTAAATACTTCTGCTATCCGGAAAGGGGTTAGCACTTTTTTAATCTGCATATCTAACGAAATCTATGGCGGATATCCGTTTTCGTAATAATTCTAAATATGTTCCGGTGTGGGGAAGGAGGAAACATATATTATTCATATTCAAAATACATAGTTTACTTGAGTTTCATCGTTTATCTTGACCGTAAATCGAAAACAGAACGCGGTTGGTATCTCATCGAAATATTATAAATTTGAAGTTGGCCTAATACTTCAAAGTTATCTTATCAAAATTCGTAGATAGTTTGTGCGATGTCGTGTTGCCAGACGCGTTAGCGCATGGGTGGGCAATTACTTTTTTGAGTGGGCCAGTTACAAATAATAGACTTGGTAACTGGGCCGGAAGCTCAAAAAACAATATAGAACTATGAATCAAAAACAGTTTATTCACAACAGCCAGGCTAACGTTTATATAATAATAAGAGGTACAATGTAACAATCGGTGTCATATTGACCTTTCATCGATAATTTCGACGGAAATTCTTATTCATAAAAGCTATAGTCGTAATTTCAGTAAACAAAAGTGGGCAGGATGAAACACTCCGTTGGGCCGAATCTGACCCGCGGGCCGTATTTTTCCCACCCTGCCTTGGCGCGTCCATACCATGCAAGTCCATTAACTCGCATTTGATTGGGTTGGCTATACTGATCCGGAAAGAATCCCGACATCTAAAATCCCTACCAAAGCTTGTTAGGAACGGATATAGTGAGAAGGTCGCAAAACATGAACGTTACACGAAGCGGATGAAAACTTATCATAACTGTATCACTGTTTGACAATAACCAGAATAGACAATCAAAAGTGAGAATATATAATTCAAATCGAACAGAGCCATGGTGTTTTAAAAATTGAATCGATAAACTCAATATATATTTAGTCGAAGCCTACGGCACATTTCAGGAGTACGTAAATTCCAAAGTCGTGAGCACCAATGAGATCTCCCTGAGATAGACAGTTCGCATCTGTGTCGCATTAGCTATATTGTGTTGTTTCGCCTTTTTCTACCTTATACCGTGATGCTTTTTCACCTTTGTTCCATCGTAATCCAATAAATTACAACATTCTTGTTCGAATTTATTTGAACAAAAACAATCGTTTTAATAACAATAATAATTCTTGCGGATCTTCGTATCGATTGATTCGTTTCAGACAATGTATATGTGGTTAAGACATCCGATTCTTCGTGGTGTATAGTTGGAATATTGCAATGCTAATATTAATGACAATTCGATGTAATGTATTTAATAGGTCGAGCCACGAAATAGATACATATGCGGGACGACCAGTATGGCCCTCAGGGGGGGGGGGGGGTATCTAGTTTTAGGGCGTGGCAGGTTTTTTGTAATTAGCGATAAAACTATTTTTAGCTTATGAAAATGTGTTGTGTATTTGGGGACTACTAAATAAATTATCAAATATTTAGACGAATAACACTTTGTTCTGTTTCCCATTTGTGGTTTGTTCATTGTGGCTTATTGTCCCGCTGCACGCATTGCTCATCGCCTCGGAGGTAGACGCGAAAATCCCAAATTATAATGGCAGTCAACACTTATGCATTATGCAGTTACACCGGCTCACCGCAAGTGAAACCGCACAATTCTCTATTCTGGTCAATTTAACGTTGCGGTGACGCAATTTCAAATACGACAACGTGAAAGCGTCAATGTAAATACGTAAAGGACGACGTAAAAGCGTCAAATCTCGCATTTACCTCACCTCATGTGATCGAATTTACCGAATCGTAGGCATTCATAACCTGAAAATGAAGAATTCCTACGCATTCCTCTACGCAATGCGTTTTAATTTAGATAGTTGGTTTATTTGAAAAATATTCCCAATTTTTTGCCCAGCGTATACACACGGATGTTTTTGTTATCAATATAATTCAATCTTCTGTCGGTCATTCAAGCCGCCCTATGATATATTTGTGAGATATGAGATATTTTATATAATAAAAAGCCATGTAAAAGCTATCTACAGTACTACGAATCCATTTATTGAAACTCAACAATAACCGAAACATTAGGTCGAAATGTTGAATGATTTGACTTCATGATCAGTGGTGTTAAGAGTCTATTTTTTCATGTAATTGGGGGTGTAAGGAGTCAATATTCTCCTGAACTTGCGGCCACAAATATATCGCCTGGCGCAAAACCAATCGATAGGGAGCGAAAGGTTGATTTATATTTTGGCGGGAACTTATCACCAAAGATGGAACAAAATCGATATAAGACGCAGATTAATGATATATGACTCGACCAGGTCGCTAGAAACGCAAAATTCCTTAGTTATTCTATAATGAAACTATATGAAATATTTAAACTGTGAGGTAGTGGTTAGCCCGCATCGTGGAATAGTCAAACCGCATTAGAAATATAGGGTGTCCATAAAGTCTCGAAATTTTTTAAAATTGCAAAGGGAATTTATCGATACCATATATTGTTTTAGCCCTCACAGATGTATTAAATGAAGTAAAAATACCTGAACAAAGACTGATAAAAAGCAACAAACCTGGTTAGGATATATTGAGAACTGACTTCATAACAAAATCCAAATTGTAAAGGAATTTTATGGATACCCTGTTATATGAGGTCCCTCGTCAATTTTGAAAAAACATTTCGCCCAAAGAATCATTTTTATAGTTAGTTACCATATTAATTAACAGTCAATAGGCAAATTTTTTGATCTTTTTGTGGGAAAACACTACGATCTGATTTCCATATAACCTCCTCCTCAGTCTTGCGTAGACATTTAGAATCTCGTTCTTCCGATTGTTATCATTTGGCAATTTTTATGTTTGCATCGCAGAGTCGAGATTTTGGATCTACATCCCATCTTACCTTTGGTGTGAATAGATTGTGCCAATTTGGACAGGGGTTTATTTATTGTAGCGAGTACATTTAATTCATATGAATGCGATAAGGGAGCATAACGCATGTTCAAGTCACCATATTACCATATTCGAGTCACCATATTATCCCACCATACGTGTTGAAGTAAAGCAAAGTTTATATAATATAGTTAAGATTTTTAGCATTAGAATTTACATAATAATCCTAGTAGAGAGGAAAGCCTATAAGACGGGCTTAATCATATTGCAAACCGGTTACCAGTCTATGTCGGATATGGGATAAGTTAGCCAGTTATTTTAGTATTTGTTTCGGGTGCATGGACTTTATATGTGATTCGACCATGTCTAAGTTTGTATTTACAGATTTGAGCTTAAAATGGAGATCTTTAACAAGGTCTGCTTTATTCAAAAATTCCAGACGGAGAACCCAAGTTTCTCACGCATCTCTGCACCGCAAATGCATAAGTTCTAGGCGCCTAATTTGGCATTTTCACTTTTCAGACAAGCAGTCTATGACAGGCATAAATATTTGATGCTTTTGGTCAAGTGATACTGTCTGGTCCCGCAAATCGATTATAGGTTGCCAGAGTTGGATCTAAGATAAAACCTATTTTCATTTTGTTTTAAATTTAATATTCTATACCTCAAGAACTCCCATATACAAACTGCTCTAAACTGGCAACCACAAAATACACAAGCATAGACTTGGTTGACAATATTCCAAGATGATTTTAATACACAAACCTCGCACAGTATGTAAATAAGGGAATATATCTCACCGATTGAGAAACAGAAAATTATTTACCGATTAAAAGATAAATTTGTTCCGGTACATCTATTTTTATGATATCAATAATGGCGAATTTGAAAACAACTATATATATATATTACAGCGGGAGGCTGACGAACGTCCTACGTTGTTGTAGTGACTATAGCACTGTAAGACAGTCAATAGTCTTTCCTGGACCGGAACCGAGTAAGCAATTCCAAATATAACCGATGACTCACTCATATTTAAAACAAAACTTTCGTTTTCTAAATTCAAATGCCTTGACCCGACCCAGTCATTTGCTTCACTATAGTCAAGACTTGCAATTATCGTCGCAGGCGGCTATTCAACTGAAACCTTTCATGGATGCAAATCTTGACGCTATTTGATAATTGTGGCACATTTGATTTACCTATAGTTTTAATGTGTATACTCATGTCTAGGTACTTCTGAAGTATGCGCACCAAGATGTCGCATAACTGAACCCTAACCTGGTACACAACCGGAGTTCAGGTTGTGCGCCATCTTGGTGCGCATACTTCAGGAGGTCCGCATGTCTATTTAATCACCCGCATATATGTTACTGTATATAATATGTCCAAAAATCTTTGGAATCTTTTCGGCCAATTTAAATCAAAATTACGTTGAGATGTGCGATCATAAAATTGTTTTGGTTGATTAGCCTTCTACGATGATCAGTGCAAGTCTTGTAACTGGTGATTTGAAATTATAACAAAACTTAAGTTATGATTATATACTCTGATTCGGACTGTCTCGAGACTGTGCTAAAAAAGTCTCCCTTCCGCGGCCTTGGTACAGCGAGGTAGTACTATGAAAGTTGTCGTAAAACTGACATTGTGTTGGTTAAATATGCGCTGGAATCATCACGTAACGAATTGCAATCTATCATTAAAATTTTCCGTGATTCATTATCTGAAAATGACAAATTATTATCTGGCCATTTCTCCATTATACTAAGCTTTTAGTATGAACATATCTAATTCAGTTCACCCTTATTAATTTCCCTGTGGAATATCACAGTAAGAAGAAAACACGTGTATCTTGTGATTAGGGATTATTAAACTGAGAATAATCTGCTCGCCTGTCTGTTAAGATTTGCGTAAACTAGAATTGAACCGAGATAAAACCATATCATGATTTTTAGTCGCGTTATTTGAGATTCAATTAGAATTTCAGGAGAAGGCAAGGTTTTCGAACCAGGGGCTAAAAATTTTGCCCACTTACACTGGCGGGCCATGTTAGTGTGACGTAAAGAATGTATTTTATGAACAATATTTACAGTGCTACAAAAAGAAAAAGCGGAAAACAATAAGCCTCGTGCAAAAATACATTCAATCGCAATCTCAACGAATTCCTTTGCCCATTTTTTAGCTGAAACATCAAAATTTGGCTTCAGTTTAGTTGTGGCAGAATCAGACGGGCCAGATTAAATCACCCAACTGGCCAGATTTGGCCCGCGGGCCGTAGTTTGCCCATTTTCGATTTAGATGCACTTCTATTGTATCTTGGTAAAAACTTGGATGTCATGTTATTTACACATATATTGCGCGCCGGTAGCGTGAGATTTTCCCTTCGCAGTGTCGAAGGCATTACGCCTTGTATTCCCTTCTACGTGAGACACTGCGTAATGTGTGATATCTAAAGCAAATCTCTTTGTTACAACATGTCTCACTTAACCTAAAGGTATTTTCATTTTCTAAGTTTAAATGGAAATTTCTGATAAAATTCAAGGTACAGCAAAGCCGTAAAATCGTCCTTACCAATCAAAATGAATGTTCCCAATTAATAATCTATCAGTAACTATAATTCCCTATGACAGTAATACACTCACTCGGAATAGCTTTCACTTGGCATTCGTAAATGTTAACACGCCAAACCATTCGTATTTACGTGAGCTCATGTTTTCAAATACTCGTCCATTTTGTCAATAAACATTTTACAGATCGTAGACAAATCGGGTGTCGCTACTCGATAACCAACTTTGGTTCCCCTCGATTTCCCTTCTCCAGTAAAATTGTGTACATTATCATTTTCTTGTAATTTGTGCTTTTTTCTTTACTGATTGGAAAAAATAAACTTGTCTTGACTGCAACAACATTTTGACCACACGATCCAATATTTCTTTTTATTTCACAGCAAAGAGAACCAGTGTCCCCTCCAGAAGCAAAAATGACCGGAGCAGGACCAACACTCGCCGTAGGATACGGAGCACACAACTCCCCCCACCAAACCGGACCAGGGCGCCACGTAGTGGATATTTTGACAGAACACCCTGGAGATCTTATAAAGACCGATAGTCCTAACTTCCTGTGCACACAACTACCACAGCACTGGAGAGTAAACAAATCACTGCCAACTCCTTTCAAAAGTAAGGAATACTTATGTCTATCTTCGAGTTCGTTTGTACTTTTCATAACTCGATAGCTTACTCACTGATTTCTTGTGGTAGTTTTTAATAGAGCTGGAGTCATAAAAATGATTGAAATCAAGAGCCTATTTTGTGGAGAGAAACGAATAAATTCTGGCGCTCCCAAAGTATGTGTACCAAGATGTCGCACAACCTGAAATCTAACCGGGTACACATACTATGTTCAGATTGTGCGCCATCTTGGTGCACATACTTCTGGAGGGCCTAAATTCTTTCCGTTATGATATAATTTTTAAGTAGTTATCAACATAATATAGATGACGCTACCTTAAGGCGTCTGCGTGCATGGATATATAGCCCTAATTGCTTTTCGATTGGGCTGTCCTCAGTAGATGGCTACAATGCTTCGTGTTAGAGGCGGCTTGTACAACTCATAACTTTCTCCGAGGACGAAAAAATTTATTTCTCTATAATAGCAATTCCTACATTACTAGATTGTTATTTAAATCTATGTCTCTCCAACCTTAAAAAATGGCAAATGACTTTGCGTGTAATTGGAGTAAAATTATTATCTGATGACGTCACTATTACGCCCGACGTCATTAAATATAAATACTCATGTGTGATGTCATTGATGCTAATACATTCTTTGTTTACGTCACAGTTGTTGCATTGTCCGATATTCCTGACGGAACAATGGTCACTGTGATGGCCGGAAATGATGAAAATTATTCGGCAGAACTTCGCAACGCTTCAGCAGTCATGAAAGGAAATGTTGCACGGTTCAATGACTTAAGATTTTTGGGTCGGAGTGGAAGAGGTGAGTTCGAAAAGTATTTTTACAAAAAGTTCATATTTCCGATTTAAATTTGTTCTAGTATTAACAAAATGATAATATAAATATTAAATATATTTCACGCTCTCGATGGTCCAACTGTTGGAACGTTTGGCCATTGGTTCTCAAAGTGGGCCCGCGGCCTTTTAGGGGCACGCAAAGAAAGTTTAGGGCAACGCAAAGCGACTTTGACCATGACACGAAAACACTACCAAGTAAACTTTTGATGTCATGCTAGTACAGTGTTTCTCGAAAATACGGGACCTATTTTTAGATTTTATGACGTCACAAACGTACTTATAAACTGTACTATATTCAAAATGTGTACGAATCCTTAAGATTGAATAAATAACAGAAATATGCGAGGGAGGAATAAAGATTTAAAATAATCGAAGGGGGTAATTTAACAAAAAAGGTTCGGAACCACTGTTCTAGAACATTAAACTGATATTTAGACACGTTTGTCGACAGAGTGGGAAAATACGTGTTTAACAAGCGTTAATAATCAGTCCGACCTCACCAAAAGTAAAAATAATTATCTCGATTATAGGGATGGACGAAAATAAACTACAATATTATTTGGCTCCCCCTGGTACGTTTTGTTATACAAAGCGTCTGATGCTATTTTTATCATCTATTAAATATAGATTATACCAATAGTGTATCGTTTGCTGACATGAAATTTGCAATTTGAAATCAATTTCGTTGACAACACGCCAATAACAGTAAGATTCAATGCTCGTTTCGTAATGCTAGTGACGATTGAGTTAGTGTGCAATTTTTCAATCGTTTTCAAATTGAGTTCCACCAGTACAGTCGAGGGGTTCCGCAGGTTCCCACTCCAATCCGAGAGTCTATATTATTACATGTGTATTGTTTATACATCCAAACTTATAGCTATCAAGTTTGCCAACTACTGCTCTGGCGGCGCGGCGGTCCTCATTCAAAAGAATCGTCAAATCCAACAGTTTGTACGATTACAAATTTGGGGTCGCGACGAGGGGTGATGTGATATCATAATGTTATATCAAAATTTGACGTCATAAATCAGTTTAGGACGCACCATAGGGCTACGTCTCCATAAATCTTAGTGTGAAAATAAATAAAAAAAAAGTGATATTTATGCGTAATGTCGATTTTAATATTAAAAATGTATCGTCGTCAGGACTGTGGGTGGACAGTAAAGAATTTTGTTTCTCTTTTTTCAAAACTTGGACCAAAACCGAATTTTCTACATAAAGATGGCTTGGGACTTTGTTAACGCTAAATATTATATGAATATTAAATACACTCCCCAAGGAATATGAATCGAATAAACTGATGCACTTGAGTAACCATGTATACATCTTACAGTGTTTTAGCATCAATGAATTCTATTACCATGTAAACAATAATCTCTTAGACCATATGGTAGTTCCAGAATTATTTGTCTCTTGGGTTACGGTGGCAAACCACATAGTTGTCTTGACATTATACGTGTCTGCTATGTATTACGGCTGTCAATGTCATTTGACAGATCCACACATTTGGGAACTTTCGACTGAGGCGCTAAAAAATCTACAGATAATTTGGGCTTTCCAAAGATAGTTTTATTTCCTTTTCTTCCATATGCATAAAAGTCAAAGGATTTGTATGTTCAAGTCGGTATTGTGACACTTGAGCGGTTTCATTTTTGGGGTAACGATTTAAAGCAGGAATGTGCAACCTGCGATTCGCAAGAAAAAATTGTGTGGCCCGCGGTGCCAATTTTGAATGGTGTGCGGCCCGCGAAATATTTTTTAGTTTAGTTCAATCTTTCACATGCGAGTAATTCCAATCCCGTTGCGTTGCAAAGCCTGTACCTGAGTCCAATTTTTATCTATGTTTATTACGGTACAATGGCCTAACAGATAACTTGTGCGAAGCGAAAAACGCATTTCATAAGATCAATAACCAAAACTTTTATGCCTGCATCTACTAGAAAACCTATGTTAAGTAAAGATGCGCCTCCGGTTTCACCCAGTTATTTGTATCTGGCCCTTCTGTATCAAAGATTGCACTCTCTTGCATTAGATGATTGGCATGGGCAAATTGATAACTGGCCAACCTTTGAGTCTAAGGTTTCTAACACGCGATGCTTAGTTAAAGCGTCCGTCCGCATCTCAATATCACTTATTGCATTTTGTTAATTTTTAGGAAAAAGTTTCAATTTGACGATAACAGTGTTCACGAATCCACCACAAGTGGCGACGTATCAAAGAGCAATCAAAGTTACTGTTGATGGGCCGAGAGAACCAAGGCGTAAGATATGTTAGTTTAAAAGATTTGAATGATTGAGTGCTGGATGACACAATTTGTGTCGTCATTTAAAAAAACGATGTTCAAAGGCAATTTTGAATAAAGTCTGGCTGTAGAAATCTTATCCACCTGGCATTTTTCTGGCATGTTTATTCAGATTGGTCCATACCCCTGTTAACACCCGCATTCAGATATCTATAGCGTGACGGCAAACATTCATAACTAGCTCTGAGTGAGTAAGTGCTGCTTCGAACTCTCATTTATTTAGCATGTCCGATTTTAGTAGGAGACTTGAAAACGAGCTTCGAGCAAACTTCAATTTTGAAATAGTTCTTAGTATTCGAATACCGTTTCAGCATCTCGCCTTGATCACATTTATACTCAGAGGCAATGTCGGCAAGAGGCAAATCCATCTTGAGCAATAAATGAAGAAACTTATCAAATACTTTTGTACCCAACAGGTCAGCGTCAAAAACAAATGGATGAACACACTAAAAGTGTGTTATCTTTTCCCGATTCCTTCACACATTTAGAATCTTTAAGAAGAAACCAAGGTTATCAAAGTCAAGGTATAAATTTCGGAGGTGTGTGCATGGTAGATATATAACTTATAAAAAAATATATTTACTAAATTTTTTATGAATAAAAATTGAGTCGGATCAAAAAATACCGAGATATTATCTTTATTTAAAAAATTTCAACGACATTTTAGACCTATATTTCATTTAGCTATGACATTAAGTCTACTATTATAGGATTTTCTTTACTTTATTTGGTTTACTTTTATTACTTCTTCGAGGTTAGGGACGCATATGAAAGTTTCATCTGTTATTTTAGTTTATACGATTCAGTAATTAATCAATGTAACCCAGGATTTGGTACCATTCTGAATCCGGTTCGATTCATATGAATAAATAGGTTCCAAGCTTCGTTGTTCGCTATCGTTTATACTAATGAAATGAGAGTTACACAATAACAGGGTGATCTAAAAAACAGAACTCATAAATTTCTTAAATTCCTTCTACGAAAATGAGAAAGAAAGAAAATTTATTTAACACTTGAACTTCTGTTTGTGTGGCAAGTTAGCAAGTTGTGTAAAAGTAATCTAAGACACTTTGCACAAAAGTTATGATCTCACTAGAAGATGTTGCAAATTACCTGAATTTTTTTTCTGTAAGGGGGGGGGGGTGGCTCGGGGGGGTCACTCTGTATATGCGAATTATATTTTTAATAGTTTCTACAACGTTTACTGTGCCACGAATACAAAGACGATTGGATGACTAGTTTTAAACCAATTAGTCTAATATTTTTAAATTAACATCCAATAAGACGAAAGTCTCCCAGCAATTTTACAATGTAATTTTGTACCTCTGATTCCAGCGATTCAAGTAAACGTCGAGGCTGTCGTGGTACTTTACTTGATACGGCCATAAAAGAGCTTTGCCCGAAGAATTGTACAACATCTCGACTGCGCGTTGTTCACATTCTGTACGCGTTTGTTAAAAACCATCCAACCGTAAAAAATGAACTTGACGTTCCGCTTATGGTTTTGCTTTGTGCGTTCACAAAGAGCTTTTTATCTGTAAGGATTATGAAAAAAAGATAACCGATCAAACATGACCGGAATATATTATGTGCAAAATACTATTTACCATCCTTGGTATCCTTAAATTCGAAATGAAAGATTAGAAGTATTCATAACTATATATGCGTGGGCAGACAGCGGTATAGGAGAATAGTCTAGTCTCTTTGACTGAATTTGACGCGAAAGCGAACTAACTAAATCTTTTCGGCCATGATGTTCAGTCAATGATCAATTTCACTTTTATTCGTAAATAGGAAAATGAACTTTAGTTAACAAGTTTTTATGTGGATGCTTGAATTTTCTTGTATCACGTTTAATGAATATTTTATATAAATAAGAATACTTTTGTAAGATTTTTTTCGGATGTTTATTGCGATGACAAAGTGTAATGAGAGTGTAAAAATAACACCATCACTATCTCTCACGTCATCTGGAACATAGATAATCTCTATATTAACAATATCAGCGATTCCTAAAAATGGAATATTGCTATCATAAATATAATAACGGTTAAAATTGCAGACTGAGGTTAAAAGATTGGGTGTCATTTTCCAAACCTATTATTCACTTGAATTAAAATTCTAATTGATTTTCACCTTTGACGAATAAGACGTTAAACAATCAGCCAGAGCTATAGAGCGCCAAGCAAAAAAAATGATAAGATATTGGGTGCTCCCGAAGTATGCGAACCAAGATGGCGGACATCGGAACGTAACATGGGTAACAGGTTAGGGTTAGGCGATAATTTTTTTCCAATTTTCCTTATTTTAGTCCTATTATCAGTTCGAAAACTAGCCAAGAGCCTCCCGTAGTATTTATACCTAAAATTATGGCCTAACCCTAACCTAGTACACATATTACATTCCGATGTCCGCCATCTTGGTTCGCATACTTCGGGAGCCCCAGATATTGTCTACAGCCTTCTTGATAGTAATATCATAGTAATATCCAGACTTTGCATGGTTCAATGAATTAAAACCGTCATGTTTTTATTAACCCTGGGCCACTAGCTTCTTAGCATGTAGTTGGGAGGGTTAACATATATTTGTTTGTCTATTTGATGGTAAGACTACCCTTAACACCACCATGTTGGTATGTCAGATCACATTTCATTTTTCTAAACCTAGCTACCTGTCCAGACACTCGTTTAAAGGGAGCATACAAATTGAACCATAAAAGATCGCACTGTACCGGTGATAAATGATATGCTCCGAGATATGATGGATTATTCTTCCTCACCCAATATCGGAAATATATTCGTGATATTAATGTTTAGACGTGAACGTGACCGAAGCACTTCTCTAAATGGCGAATCTATTCACACTCCCTGATATAATGAATGAACCCACTCCTATCTATGTAGGTCATGTCCTTCTTTTTAATAAAATATGAATTGTTATATTGTGTATGAATCAACAAAATACATTGGAGCCTTTCAATTTGTCAAGTATATAAAAGATATCATATTGCGGATACAATTGGATATGAGGGTTAACAAAAATGTAGGGCGCTTTGGAAGTGTGTGTACCAATATGGAGGTAACTAATTTTGTTCGCCTACTTTACATCAAGTTGTGTGAAGGAACAGAAACTCATGAAGAGGGCTTTATTCAATTGGATAACACAGGCAGTCCCTAACTCGCAATATCACTAAACTAAGGAAAATCGGAATAAAATTATGGCCTAACCCTAACCTAGTACACACATTACAGGAGTACCAAATTTAGGGCTTGTTTATCCTACGCCTTGTTAGAGAAAGGGCGTAAAACTCCTAATCAAAATGTCGACTTAACAAGCTGCAATCATCGGACCTAAATATCCATTCGAGGTGTTTTGACCTTGTTAATTGCTTGGTCCCGAATAATTCTGGTTCCTTCTGATAAATAACCTGTGAATGTATAGCTACAACCCGAATTTATAGCTCTACAAAACAACATTCGCGACATTCCTGGAACGGGTTTTCGAGATTCCCCCGAATGCCACCACTGTGTGTATGAACATTTAATCATTTTTTTAGATAATAATATCACTCACGTTGATTATTTTTTCCGTGTGTAACTTTTACGATTTTTGTCGGATTTATTAGGAGAATATAATACAAACGCATTGTTATGACTGCGGTTTAGATTCAGGTTTTTCAAACACGTCCAACCAGGAATAATTGGCGAGGATTAAATTGTTAAAGATAAACTTGTACGCTTGTGCAGAGGTGTTAACAGACCATAGTATACTGAAGCACACGCCTTGTCTGAGCGCCTAAATTTATCATTTTTGGTACTTGGAGCGATCCCAAAAGTTTGGGTGGTACCATCAACTGAAAACGTCAACAACTTTAGAAAACTCACCGCCTAAATCAAACGAAAAACACTTTTTAAACAGGTCAGTGACCTGAAATATCTAGTGAAATAATCTTGTTGAATTCTTTGAAGTAGTATCATTCGTGGTAGTATCAACTAAGAGACATTGAACATTTTAGAAAACTTGCTGTCTAAATCAAATGAAAAACATTTTTATACCGGTTAGTGACCCGAGTGAAATGATCTTCTTGAATTCTTTATTTGTTATTCGTTCCTTTTGTTTGCTAATGAAAGTTATTCAGAGGTAAACTATTGCGCTTAATTTACTTATATACAAATATTACTAATGATATGGTATATCATCTAATCAACTTCTAATATTTAGATTTCATTTAAGTTTTGCCATACCAGCTCTAACCGAAAGCGCGTCTGGCGTCGTGTTATGCGGTTCTGCCAGTATCTGCGCGCACTACTATAATTTTGTATGGTTATCATATTTCTTTATATTTCAGTAAGTTCATGTAACTTTTTGTTAACAGACATTTTTCTAGGTCATTTTATTGACTTCAAAGACGGGAAAAACCGCTATAGAAATATCGAGCGCTTGCTATAATGATGCTATGAGATTACGCATGTTTTCCACAACGCCGTGAATGTGGTTAAACGCCGGTTTTGAGAACACCGGCGGTCGATACCAATATAAAATAATATTTCCAGGAGTATTTTCAGTCATACCTAAACCACATAAGGGCGAAATAATACCGCACGATTGTCTCGCGTTTTTATTGTTTATATATAAGGATAATATGAGATACTGTAGAAGTGCTATGGAAGAAATTTTATATGCAATTTCTCTCAAATCAAAGTTACATGGAAAATATCTTGAAGTAAAATAAAAGTTGATAAGTGTGACCACTGGCGCAGTAAAGGAAATATATGTTTATTCACTTGACAGAGATATTAGTAGATAATAACATCTAGACATAACATCACGTAGTAGATAATATTGGTTATCGTGGGACTTGAAACAAAACAATCTATACTGTCACGGAAAGAGCTTGTATATCGTTTGTTAAGCATTCCATTACAACAGCACATGTTGATATGAGAGGGAAAATAAATTAAAATCTCGAACTTGATGATTTATGTTTAAAAATAGTCCCGAAAACAAAAATAGGGGAAAAGACTTTTTGAAATTTTACGATACCGTAAATCGTTCAAGATATATTTAAAAATATTTAGGAGAAAAAAATGCCTATATTTTTGAAAATAAGTTTTATTTTTTAGAATTTTAAACTTTGCATTACGAATGACGTTAATTACCTGTGACGTCATTAAAGTAATTACAAAATTACTTAGAAATACTAATGGACAAATAGAGTATTGTTGCCCCACTTTTGGGAAAATTTAATTTAAAATATAAAAATGTTATTTTTTTGACTTATTTCATCCTTTCAGAGAGTCTGTTGGGACTATTAGAAACCGCTTTTTGTCTCTTAGGTAAAAAAAATCAAAAAGCACGAAATGGCGAGTTTTTTTATTCGAAGAAACTTATTAAAAAGTTGTTTTCAAGAATAAAATTCGCATTTCTTATAAATTTAAAAACGAGACAAAACTTTTAATTTTTCTTTGCCACATATTTCGTAATTCAATTTTTAATTATTTCAATAAATTTGTAAACTAGTTTACGTCCCTTCGGCGCA